ATGGGCCATCCACTGTTCACCATGAATGTCAATGTCATCAAGTGGCCACTCACCACCAAGTATTTCCCGGATGAAAGTATGGCTGAGTGTGAGCCATTTACCAAGCTCTTCATCCTTTTCTAGCACGCTTAGAGCAGCTCTCCGTATCCCATCTTTGTCACCTTCCCTGTGAACAAGCAAAATCCTTCTTCCTCTGTGAAGAAAACATCGAACAGGCCAGTTCAAGCCCTCCTCACCTGCCTCCAAAATACTCCCGTCCCAGTAGCCGAAGGGATCTTCACTCACCACTTCCCGCTTCCATGACATACTGTCTAGGATTGCCATCCTCCTTTGCCTCGTTTTGGTTGTAACCCGGATTATACAGGTCTCCAGCAGTCGTGGATCCCCCCAGCGCCCAGCTTCCGGAGCCAGAATTGTACTGGAGAATGTAGGCCACGTCCTCTTCATCAATGATGTTAAGCACTGCAATCCGGTAGATCCCTGTCTCAAGATCCACATCCATCGCCTCGATCAAGAAAACCTTCTCGGGACACTGGAGCACCTTCCAAGAGTTTGTGAGCGGATTGCCCACAGCCAGAGACCGTGAGCGAGGCCATTTCGTCTCCGGCCACCCAGCAAGCGTGCCACAGACGAGCCCATTTGCCGTGACATGGCTCGCAAACATTGTAGAGGGAACTCCAGGCGGACCGAGAGGCAGAGATGTGGGCTCGAGTGGTCGGCCGGAGAAAGGGCGCCAGAGGACTGCGGATTGGGCGCCACGGGAGAGAATCGTCCGTACCACCCAGGGAATGCCATGATGCTGCTGCTTCCCGTGGCGATCCAGAAACGAGCGAGAGGAAAGAATGCGGTACCAGGAGCAGCAGACCACTCGCATCCGGGCGACGCTGCGGAAATCGAGTCGCAGGAGGACGTCCACAAGCAATTCCTGCTCCCGGAGCCGATCGAAGGCAGAGCCGATCGCCATGCTCGCTTATGCCCTAAATGAAATTCTTTTAATTTCTTTTCATTACAAGGGCTAAAGTGTGCCACGTGGCATGTTTTACTATAAGTTATCATGTTGCGATGGAAAGCGGCGCCAAGAAGAAAGGAGAAGCTTGTTGTTCTATGTTCAATAGCAAAGACAAGATGGAATGTCTGGTTGTCATGTACAGGGATCTAAAGTCTTATTTTAGTCAGCACACTTTAGATTATTTTCCACTCTCTTGAAGAGCAGCAATTGGGTGAATAGCTGCAACACTTTATATGGTCCTTTCCATTGAGCAAAGAACTCATTAATTAAATTATGTACCGTAAGATAGGGAAAAATAGATTAACACTAAGTTATCCACTTTATATTTTGCAGATGGATGATAATGGGAGTTCTATGGTAAATTTTGCTCGAAAAATGGAAAAATGCTCATCAAATACTAATTTCACAACTTAATATCGGCAATTCATGGCAATTGCAAAAGTAAACTCAACTCTATTGGTAATATTAGATCATGACTATATAAGAGTTTATATGGTGAAACACTAACAAAACTCTACACCCCTATGACATATGCATATCGAAGAAATGGCAAATAACCATCCCAGTCTGAATGCTGAAAATTCATGTACTTCGTGATCATTGATCATTCCTTTGAATGTCTAAATGAACCGTTCCACCAAACTATCTGATTGTGGATGATAAACACTCATGAAAGTGTGGCATATCCCCAATCGAGATGTCAAAACATGAAATGCCTTAGCCATAAATGCGGGACTATTATCCAAAAGAATCCGCTCTAGACAAAAATGTTGGAACACCACTTGATTGAGGAGGAAATATTCAACAACAATTGCAAAGGCATTAGCAAAAGCACCAACTTCAACCTAACAAGTCAAATAGTCAGAAACAATAATAACATATTCATTGCTAGCAGTCAATCATGGAAAAGGTCCCATAAGATCAAACGTCACTAACTCAAACAATTAGGAAACTACAATTGACTCTAACCATCCTTCCACAACACGAGAGGGAGTATTACAAATTTGGCACCAAACACAGCTATGCATATACCAGATAATATCATATTGCATTTGGCAAATAGAAAGACCTGCGCAGCTTCTTGATCACTATATGCCCACCTAGAACAAAAGAATCATGGTAAGCATGGAAAAACCGTGGAATAAAGACAGAAGGCACCACCAACCATAAAGGATCATCAAGATCCGTCATCACAAAATAAAGAAAGCCGTTTTCAAGGCAATATTGAGAATGTAAATGCTGGAATGGCAAATCATCAGCAAATAATGCAAGATTCTCAAACCCATCTCAAAGCCTTCAAATCCACAGCTCAATCTTTTGAGCCTCGTGAATCTCATCAAAAGAAGGTAGATCTTGCTCTACATCTTGTGGGCATTAAACATCAAGTACAACAACCGCCAATAGTATAGAATCCTCGTCTAGAAAATCCACAGATGTTGGAATAATAGGTTCGTTAGAAACATGAGAAGAGAGTGAAGAAGGAAGACGAGCTCAAGAAAGGGCATCAACATCAACTATAGAACTCCCTAGGTGATGAACAACATCAAAATCATATATCTGAAGTCTCAAAACCCATTGAGTAGTACGACCAACCAGGTTCTTTTGCTTCAATAATGAAGTAACGGCAGCATGATCACCTTCAAGTAACATCCAAAAACTATATAGATATGCATGAAGTTTCTCAAAACCCCAAACTATTGGTAAACACTCCTTCTCAATCGTGGAGTAATTCACCTCCACTGGTAGTAATGTATGACTTATATACGCAATAGGATGGCACTAACCAGACACACTTGGCCTCTCTTGCATCAACACACCTCTTGCATCAACAGACCAATATTAGAAGTATCCACATGCAAAATGAAAGGTTGAGTGTAGTCAAGATATGCCAAAACCGGAGGAGTCGTCAATACCTCTTTGAGATTCACGAATGCCTGCTCACAATTCGGAGACCAAATGAAAGATGATATTAATGACTTCAGCAACACTTACAATGGTGCAGTATGATCTGAAAAATGATCCACAAAACAACTGAGATACTGCACCTTGCCCAAGAAGTGTTGCAAATTCATTCACACACTTTGAAATAGGGAACTTTAGAACAACCACAAATTTGTCAAAATCAATTTGTAAACCCTTACGAGAAATATGGTATCTAAGATAAATTGTGTCCTTGGACCCAAACATGCACTTAGATGGCTTCAGCTTTAAACCGACATTTTATAGTCGATCCAACACTTTACAAACATCATAGACGTATTCCTCTCATGTCCCCTCTGAGTGGATCAAGACATTATTAATGAAGTTAGTAGTCACCTCTGGCATATCACAAAGAACCTCATCCATCATCTATTAGAAAGTTGTTGGAGCATTGTTCAAACTAAACGGCATCACCAAAATTGGTATACGAAAAACAGTTTTAGGAATATCTTCTTTGGCCATCAGTACTTGCCAGTACCTAGAAGCAAGATCGAGTTTGGTAAATCAACGACTTTTTCCTAAACTATCCAAGAGATCAACAGTGTGAGGAAGAGGGTACACATCCGGGATCATCACTTTGTTTAACGGACGATAATCAATGCATAAATGAATACTCCCATAAGGTTTTGTCACAAGATGAGGTTCATATGTCTAAGGACTCCACAACTTTTGAATAACACCCTTTTATAACATCATTTTGACATTTGCATGTAAAATATTGATTTCTAACAGGAACTTTGATTAAACAAGCATCCCTAGTTGGAATCGGATGACATGTGGAAATCTTAGCCCCAGATGATAAGTCAAATTCAAAGATATTGACATACTTCTTCATGAGCTGGTCAACCGCTACAACACAAAGACTGTCAAAGGGATTGGAAAAGGAAAGAGTGAAATAAGACGGAAACATAGGAAAAAGTATGGGGAGATAAAAGTAATGGAAGAAAAGGTAAAAGTAAAGAGACGAAGAGGTATGGAAGTGAGAGGAATGGATGAAATATAAGGAAGTATGAGACAAAGGGGAGAAACCTCAAAGTCACACTTGGCATGATTATGCTACAAAAAATCCATACCAAGGATGAGGTCAAAAGCTTAATTCGGCACCCCCCACAATAACTACAACCCAAGCTCGAGATTGCCCACACACACAACTAAGTTCGCCTCATCCCATGCATATATATGTGTATGGCCGTTGCCATAAAGAATAAAAACTAACTTTACCACACAACATAAGTGTTGACGGCAACGTGTGGCAATAGATCGAGCGATAGAAGATAAACTTAAACCTGTATCAACCAATATAAAGAGAATAATAAAAGAATTCTTGTTATAAAAATGAGCTTGGAAAGTAAACACTTGATGAATTGGTGCTAAGTGAACCCCTTGATGATACTCCTAAAAGAAAGATGAAGGGGTCACTGACTTATTTGCGCAAGATCCCTTCGTTACTTATGCGACTCCTTGTTTCCTAGATGCATCTCAGTGTCTAAACCTTCCACTACATCAGCACTAACAGTATGTTGTTGACACCAAAGTCTCTACCCAAGAAATGGAGCCTACCAATCTGGAAAACACTAACAATGCCGATAAATGTGACCAACTTCATCACATGTCCAACAGTGAACATCACAACCATGACCACGTCCTCACCCTTGTCCTTAGACTTGAGCAATAGTAGCATCAACCTCCATTGGAATAGGACCATCACCCACAGGAAGTGGAGTTGGAGAATGCATAGCGAAAAGTGGAAGAGGTGACATTTTATAACATTGTACCAAGCGAAGAGCATCATCAAGGGTGGCTAGAGCAAGTGCATATACAAGTCCGACAAGATCTTAACAAAGTGCTAGCCATAACATTCCTAGCTTGATCCACTCTGATATATTTGGCTTTATACGAAACAAGATGCTTTGAAAACGAACACCAAATTACATCACTGACTTAGATAGCTCTTGACGAAGATGATGCAATTGTTGGAAGGTAACATCACATCATGCACCTACTTCCACCACTACTCCAACATCCCAATGTATCCCACCAATAGCCTCACAAGGCCGGCTTCAACACCGGCCTTGGCCCTCTTTGCCTCATTTAGCTCACTACTTGTGCTCAAGGGTGAGCATGACATGAGAGTCTCGTGGTAGCTAAGGCTTGGCATGTCCAAATGCGTGTTTGAAAATGTCTGGAAAAACACTCCAATCCCTACGAGTGGTTGCACTTAAACTATTATACCACTGTAGTGCCATCCTTTGAAAACATGTGGAAAACTTACGCAAATATCAAGCATCATCCCAAGAATGATATGTGGCAATCACCATGAAGTGATCAAACCAATGGTTCATATCATCCCCATGATTCCCACGAAAGAACTCCGGCTGAATGTGAGGATGGGCAGCAAGAGTAGGAGGAGCTATACCATATGCTAGCCATCAACTGAGTTTGGTTATTCAATTGCAATCACATAGCACTAAACAATTGTATCAATTGTTGCACTAAAGTCAAATGAGGAGATTATTGCTCTACCATGAAAATGAATGAAAAGGAAAGAGAAGAATAAGAAAAAAGAAAAAAATCTAGAAGAAAAAGGAGATTTAAACAATGCAAAAGTTAGATCTAAACCAAATCCTAAAAGGAAAGAACAAAAGAAAGGAAATGGAAAAAACTAAATTTAGATGATGCAAAAGTTAGATCTAAGCTAAAATTCTAAATCTAAACACTCCTCAAAGACAATCAAAAGTGCCCCTTATCTCCACTAATGTGAGTATATGGAATATGAAAAGGGAATACAGAAAATGTGTATATCAATTAACCCAAAAACCTTAGTTTATATACAGGAGCATGTGGTCCAGATTGAAACCAATGTGATAGCTACCAAAATCCCACTATGCTAATATTAGTATATGGCATTGTAGCCGTATACTTGGAATTATATATTGAAATAAATATTTTATATGTTCAATTCCTCATTATTTCAATAAAATAGATTTTTCAAGAGACATCTTTAATAATTATGTGTACTAAATAGCAAAGCTTGAAAACAAGTCATTGCCTCAAAAATCTCTTGGTCCATATGCAATGCACAAGGATCACTTGTGACCATTCACCTCTTCAGAGAGTGGGAAATAGTCTGCAGGGTGCCACCTAGATCCCTGGACATGACAACCAGATTTTGCCATGCATGGTTGCATTTGCTAATGGTTACATCTTCCATCTTGTTTACAATCTGCTGCCATTGAACATAGAATAACAACCTTCTCCTTTCTTCCCAGCGCAACAAGTATTCATGGTGCTTGAGGCGTATCAAGGCCATATAATCTGCTTTCGTCCACGTTTTACTATGCTTGATCAGCTGCTCTGGTCCCTATCCAAATGAAGCACATTCAAGAAAAAGCTTTAATAGTACTTTTGATGATAGATACCTTGTCATCACCTCATTCCCACTTCCCATTGCAACCCATGAGCCATCAAATTAATTTCATTGAGACAGAGCTAGCCTTGTTCTTGGTGGAAAAGGAGCTGGATAGGGGCAGCCAAGGCAATTGTCAGCATAAGTGAGGGTAGATCCATGATGGCGTAAGAGGTGGAGATCCAGTTACTGACACAACATAGCCACATATAGTTCCAGCAACTATATAGTCTTCAAGAAAGAGCTTCTCGATCTTCAACGGAGATCACCACCACCACAGATCGATGCCTTTCAAGAACATGCTCCTACTCATCTTCTTACAGCGACTCCTCCGACCACCACCATAAAATCTCGCACGTTACCACAACTTTCAGACCACCTTTGATTCAGTCAAGCTCTTCGGTACCACCACAAGTACGGTGATGGTTGCTGGTGCCGGCCGTGTGACTCTCCACACTTGGCCGTGCCACATCTTTGCGTGCAAGAGAGCCACAAAAACCCTAGGAGTTCTTTTACCCCTTTGGAGTTACCTTTTACCCTGACGCGCTTTTCAGCTGATTCTTTGGATTTGTTCATTAACTAACCCAGAGGTTCGTTGCCGCATGAACTGCTGTTCGGGAGTCAGGATCGAGCATTGGAGCTAGGTCAAGTGTGCAAGCAGTGGAGCAGCTACATGCCTAGACTGGAGCTCAACTTTTTGCGCAAGTTTCCCGACGTTCCCGAGGTGATCGAGGCTGCTTTGTGCAGCACCCTGCGTGAAAGGCCTGGCCTTCGCCGTCTCCGCATCAACACACCGCCTGTCAGTATTTCTAAGCTTCTTTCAAGCAGGTTTCGTTTTGTGTCTGTTCCTTTCCTTCATAGCTTTTGAACAATTTACACTCTCGTGCATCACAGTGACTTGAGATTTTAGACTTTTATATTTCCGACGGCGGCATACCATGGTCTTTCAGCTGTAAGGTGGCTGCAGCGTGCCCGAAGTTACACTCTTTCTCGATTTCCTGTGAATAGGTACGTATCCTCGAGAAGTCAAGCTTCCCGGATTCGTTCGCTGCTGCTTGAAGGTGAAATCAGCTGGCTACGGAAAATCCAAGAAGTTGTCCTAGTGTGTGAGTTCATGCCCTGCTCTAGAGATGCTTGTGCTCTACTGGCCAAGATTCTCTGCTCTACGAATTCATGCTCCACAGTTCCAGTCTCAAGTTTCTTGGAGTTGAACGTCATGACAAAAGCGTTAAACTGAATGCTCCGAACCTTGAAGTCCTGGATGTGGATGTTAGTAGTAATGGAGGATTGAACCAGCTGCATAGCTTGAGGCTAAGCTCATCTGTTCGGCTCATGGCTCGCGTACGACATCCCTCTGTCAAAGACGCTTCACGCATCAAAGATATTACCGCTGTTCATGCCTTTCATGTTCGAGATTTGTTTATTGGCAACATTGTCGAGGTATAAGCCATTTTTTGGTTGGCAGTTGGTTTCTAAGATGGTTCTTAATTTGTGGCAGATTATACCAAATTCTCAAACAAGTTCTCTGAGAATGCCGTCTTTGGAAAGGGTGGCCAGAGACTGTCATGCGGCAAAGAAAGCTACCGACATAGAAAGCTTCGTTTCCATTATCCTCACTCATCGAAGTTGGAGCTCCTTCTGCTCATGAACTTACCTTCCAGGTATAGGAAGAATGTGCCGTCTGATCCACGAGTAAGAATAGCACGTTCCGAAGCTGATAAAAAGCTTGTTCAAGCAATCAAGTTTGTTCCACCGTTTGAGGATGAGTCCACATTACCTGAGCTTCCTCCAGGCCAACCAGTTCGAAATTGATGACATACGAATTGTATACTCAACAAAGCAGCAGGTGAGTAGATATAATGCTGTTTTCAACCAGTACTATCCATATTGTTCATGTAGTGCCTGATTTCTATCACACTTCCGGTGGAGATTGAGAAGCTTGCTTGTGAGTGCAGTAATGCACCATTTGGAAAAGGCAGATGCTCTGCATGAGACATTGAATTATGTTAAGAGAACTTCATGACTTTCAGGTGATTCGGATGTTTATGATCCGAGCTATCGCAAGTCAGTCAAGCTCAATCCTGAAGAGTTTGTGACAGACTTCCATCCAGCAAACTACGAGATTTTGGACATAGTGAGGGACACACTAGTCCCAAACGCAACCAGCCTCAGGGCTGAGCTGCACAAGCTGACTCTGTACCGAGCTGAGGACTATTTTAAAACACACGTATATACACCGCGGGATGGCCTCGTTGCATCTTTGGTCCTGAGCTGGGAAGAAGCCGCGACAGAAGAATGGTTCTAACAAGCGGGATGCTAAACGAGATGCTTTCACCTTGAAAATGTCGACTTCATGCAGATTACATTTCCAGTCAGCCTCCAGGTAATCACAGTGGTGGGAGACTTGTAGTGCGACATGGAAAGGTGGAGGAGACACTTCAAATCGACGAGAACAAGAGAAGTATCAATATCCACTGACTGCAAGCATGAAGTGGAGGAAGTTAAATCGGGATACAGGCCCACGTTGACATACAATCTTTACAGCAACGGGGTAAAATCCCTATCGTTGTCCAGTTTAGCTGATCATACTGGCTCTACAATCTACTAAGAGTTTCTGAAGCTCAAGTCTAAAAGGAGTAGCAGATGGCTGCTGGTGGGATTCCCCTGTGGGCACAGATATCCTCTCAACGAAGGTGAAAGGAGGACGTGTGAGGAAATGGCTTACATGTTGACAGGGGAGGATGCCGTCCTCTTTTGGGCTGCTAAACTTAATCCACTTGTGGTTCAATTATGGGAAGAAAAACCAAAAGAAAAGAAGGATATCTATGTTAGCCAGGATTGTCTGGGATTTATGCTATCTTTGGAGGTGCAAGAGTGGAGTTCAATTCTATGTTTCCGGCATCTGATGAACCAAACAGGAAATTGATTACGTGGCTTTGGGAAGGGTTGGTTGGTCATTTTTTTCTTTTTGATCTCTACATTGTTTTGTTGCTCTAACTTTCTAGTTTCCCAACAGATTGGTGGAGCTGGCCTCTTTTATGGAAACGATGTTCACCGTATGCTTTAGCTGTTGTGTTCTGCATTGGTCCGGAGGATGAAAATGAAGGCACAGTCCCCTACTGCAATTGTCCGGAGGGCAACTACACAGATTACAAGGATGACTGAGGTTCGAGCGGCTCGTTTGGATGTTGTCTAACAGTTGATATAAAATTACATTAATCTATCTGGATGGATCGAAAATGAAAACAATTAGGAAAGAGCCGGGTTGCTTTGTGGTGCTCTCTCCAGGATCATCAAGTGCACAATTCATGAACACCACGGAGAAAACAGCTCACAGCATTCTTTGCTGGGTAATATTTCTAGTGTGGCAGCTAGGATTAATCTTGCCCTCCTGACAGAATCAAAGAGAAAGAAATATGAACACGAAAAGATGAATCCAAATGCTTACTTGCGAGCTTCTTCGTTTATGCATTTGAGTGTCGCTCTAGCCTGGAGAACAAGAAAAAAAAGGAAAAATTGAGGGATTTTGTTGCCAAACCTGGTGTGTTCTGAGTGAATTGAGCAAGTGATGCATGTTTCTGAGAATGAGGCCCCACTCTTCGAGCATACTGAGAAGGCCTCTCCACCAAAGCGTCGGCGAGCTTGGAGCACAAGTTATCGGTTCAAAGCCTTGAGCTCCTTGTTTTCTAAACTCCGAGAGAAAGATCAATCCACTCAAGCAATGTTCCTGTAAGTTTGATAGTTACTAAAAGTTGATATGATATGATCAATCTACCAGTAGTCCCTGCAAGAACAGCTACCATTCTCAAACAAATGAAACCGCGCAGCGTCCCTCACAACGATCTTCCTCCCGGTAATCCTCGACATAAACTTGGTAGCGGTGTGACAATCCAAGCACACCCTCAAGTTCTTCACGATCCTCAGCATCGACTTCCCAGGCACCACCATATTCCCATAGACAATCGCCAGCTTCTCGCTGTGGCAAACCAGCAAATCCTCCTTCTCCTCCTCCTCTAAGTCGTGAAATACGCTGCTCGTATCGGGCACGTATCCCAGCCCTTTCATCTCCTCCACCATCTTTCCCAGCTCCACGTAAATCTCCTCCCCCTGTGGATGTGAGCTATCCCCGGACACGAACTCATGCACCACGTCCCCGATCTCTATCCAGCTCTTCCCGGGGCTCTTCTTCACGCCCCGCGCAGCCATGATCTTCCGGATCTTCTCCACGTCCTTCCACCGCCCGGCCGCGGCGTAGATGTTGGAGAGCAAGACGTATCCCCCGGAAGTCCACGGCACCCTGTCCACCACTTGATCCGCGGCTCTCACCCCTCGCTTGAGATCTCCGTGCGTCTTGCAAGCCCCGAGCAGCGACATCCACTGCACGGCGTTGGCTTGTATCGGCATCGACTTGAGCACCAGCTCGGCCTCCGCCAGCCTCCCTCCTCGTCCGAGGAGATCGATGATGCAGCCGAAGTGTGGGACGCTCGGTTTGATCCGGTGGTCGTCTTGCATGCGGTAGAAGTAGTCGAGGCCGTCGGCGACGAGGCCGCCATGGCTGCAAGCCGAGAGAAGCCCGACGAAGGTCACCTCGGTCGGCTTCACACCTTGGAGATCCATCTCCTGGTAGAGCAGCAGCGCTTGATCGCTGTGGCCGTGGTAAGCGTACGAGGAGATGATGGTGTTCCACGAGATCTCGTCCTTGAGCTTCATGGAGTGGAAGACGTCGAGAGCTTCGTCCAGACAGCCACACTTCCCGTACATGTGAACGAGTGCGTTGGAGACGAGCAAGTTGGCGTCGAAGTTCGTGGCTCGGACCCTGGCGTGGATGGCGCGGCCTTGCTTGAGCGCCGAGAGCTCCGCGCAGACGTCGATCACCGTGACGAAAGTGCCCTGCTTCGGTGCTAGATCGGTGGTGTCGTGCATGGATCTGTAGAGGTCGAGTGCTTGCTTGCCTCGGCCGTGCTGCGCGTAGGCGGCGATCATCGCGTTCCAGCAGACTGAATCGGCGTCGTGCCTGATCGAGTCGAAGACTTTGCGGGCTTCTTCCAGATCTCCACACTTGCTGTACATGTTGAGCAATGCGGTGCCAACCACCACGTCCTGGAAGTGGAAGTTGTCATTGAAGATTACAAAAGAGAAAGAAGAAAACTAGAAGAACAAGAGAAAGACGAGAACAAGAGAACAAGAGAAAGAAGAAAACTAGAACAAACGAGAACTTAGAAGAAACTAAGCGAGAACTTGGAAGAAAACTAGAAGAGCAAACGAGAACTTAGAAGTAAACAAACGAGAACTTGAAAGAAACAAACGAGAACTTAGAAGAAAACTAGAAGAACAAACGAAAACAAAAGAGAACTTGCAAGAAAACTAGAAGAACAACGAGATCTTGGAAGGAAACTAGAACTTAGAACTTCGAAGAAAACTAGAAAAGAATTTATAAAAAAACTAGAAGAACAAGAGAAAGAAGAAAACTCTACCTTGTGGAGCTCCTTTCCCTCCCTGCGAAGCATCTCATGGATCTCCCTCCCCTGTTCCAAGTCCTCCAAGTTAGAACAAGCCTCGATCGCGATGCTAAAGCTAAACTTATCTGGCCTCGCGCTCCTCGAGCGCTCGCACATCTCCCGGAAGAGCTCCAGGGCCTCGCGATCCCTCCCATCCAGCTTGTAGTTCGTCATCATCGCGTTCCAAGTCACCGAGTTCTTCCACTGGAGCTCCTCGAAGGCCGCCCTCGCGTCGTCCAATCGGCCACACTTGCCATACATGCTGATCACCGCAGTGCCCACCACCACATTGGGCAGCAGCCCACTGATCCGCGCGTACCGATGGATCTCCCTCCCCTGATCGATCGCGGCCGCGCCCATCTGCGCGATCGCTGCTAAGATCACGCTGAAAGTCACTCGATCGGGCCTCTCCCCGGACTGGTACATCCGCCGGAAGAAGACGAGCGCCTCGCTGTGGCAGCCATTGTGGGAGAAGGCTGCCATCGCCACGGTCCAGGTGTGGACGTTCCTGGAAGGCATGGATTCGAAGAGCTCGCGCGCGTACGGCAGCCGGCCACACTTGCCGTACATCTCGATGAGGAGATTGGCGAGAAATGGGGGCTGCGAATTGCTGTGCGGGAGGGAGAGAATGTGAGAATGGAGGCGGCGCGCGGCGGAGATGGCATTGGCGGCGCCGCAGCGGCGGATGAGCGCAGCATAGCCGACGGGATCGAGTTCCAATTCGCGCGACTCTAGGAGCTGAATGGATTTGTGCAAGCTCTCACGCTCACCGAAGGAATTCGCTCGATTGCTTGAAGAATTCTGCTGCTGCTGCTGCCATTTCGTGAGAGGATGCGATGGCGGCGTGGATTTCTTCAGAGGAAGTGGAGATTCAATCGTTCCCATTCATCCTTGCCGCAAGAACCCTAAACCTCAACAGCCCTAAAAAAGTTAAAAGTTGTTTTACCCCTTCGGATTTACTATTTTTACCCTGACGCGCTTTTCTCCCAGAATCGCAAGGAAATCTCTTCCAGTTTAGTATGTCCGCCATAGCCAGATGGGAGCCAAGTGTGGAAGCTACTGCCACGTGGCGGTGGACGAGCTCACAGTGCGCGGTGATTTTGGGCGAGTTTTGGAGCGATTCTTTGGCATTGGCGAGAGGATTCGTTCTTGAGCTGTGATCCAATCGATTCAATCGTCAATCTCTTGTGAATTTGGACATGGGGCGGGCCAAGATCGAGATCAAGAAGATCGAGAATCGCAGCGCCCGCCAGGTTTGCTTCTCCAAGCGCCGCATGGGTCTGATCAAGAAGGCGAGCGAGCTGTCCATCCTCTGTGGCTCCGAGGTGGGGATCATCGTCTTCTCGCAGGCGGGCAAGGCCTTCTCTTTCGGGCATCCCTGCATCGATTACGTGATCGACAAGACGCTCAAGCGGCCCGTGCAGGTGAATTGCGAGAAGATCGAGAGGATCCGGCAGCTAGAGAAGCAGTACAACGAATTGCTCCAGGAGCTGGAGAATGAGAATGAGAAGCACGCCATCTTGCAGAGGGAGTTCGCGGGAGGAGGAGGAGGAGGGCGGGGATTGCAGTGGTGGGAGGAGGATGTGAGTGGCATGGGAATCGAGGAGCTCAAGCAGCATGCCGAGTCGCTGGAAGCGATGTACAGGGTTGTGATTGAGCGCGCCAAGTTCTTGCAAGTCCAGGCATCACTCGTGTCCTATCAATTGCCATCACATTTCTTAGGCGATGATAACTTCCAGCACGGACAAGATCAAGAAAAGCATGAGCTCTCACTACTAGTAGCCCCAATTCCAGATGATTTGTGTGAGAATGAGAATGGCAAGAGAGTGTAAATAGAGGATTCTAGCAGAGCATTTGGTGACGATCATAGTTGTGTATATTGTTTTTGTGTATGTTACATTGGAATTTAGGGTTCTTAGTTTCTTCATGCGCCTGCCAGGCATTACTCTCGCGTGAGGGCTCGGGCGCAGCGGCGATTAAATGTTAGTTATGTGAATAACTTGTTCCAAAGCTACTCTTCGTCTATTCCTCTTTGACTCTTCAATACAATCGTGAGTCTTGCTCGTCTTGATGCAAACTATGGTTGTGTCGAACTGGAGTTTCGTCAAAGACGATTCGCACAACTGTGAGACAAAGTTTGTGAACGGTTTGTAGAGTTTTCATATCTTTGTTACAGTTCGTAAAGAATTGTTTCCTGCATTTTCGACAGCGGTGATGTTAGCTGCTCAAAGCATCGCACTGGGAACAGATGAGCTCGTCGTGGCTGGCGGAATGGAAAAGCATGGCGAATCCACGCCAGAATCCTTCACAGAAGCTCCTGGAGGATTTGACTATGAAGGACAGCATGTTTTGTGATGGGCCTTCACAAACAACACGATGGGAGCTTATGCTGAATCTTGCGCACAGGTCTCTGTCGTCAGTATCATTGAAGAGTGTTCCCGGGTATTTTGCTTTTCAATTCATTGATGTGTTTCAAGTGAACGCTTTTTTCTGGCTGTTTAATGCCAGTTTGATCCGGATAAAATGCGGGAGCTTCTGCCGGTCTTGAAAACCGGTAACTGCTGGCCAGCTCGTCCAAGATAAGCGATGGAGCGGCGGCGCTTCCGCTGGCGTCGAGAGTTCGCGGAAAAGAATAAGGTGCCGGTGATTGCTCGCCTCCGGGGCTTTGCGAGACGCAGCTCAGGTAAGCAACTGGTATCGAATTTCTGTTTTCAGTGCTGATGGAGTCTCTGCTTTTCTCTTTTCCGTCTGCCTCCAGAACGAGCCCGGCCGTGGCAATTCCTCGAGCTCTAGCGCATGCACGTCGGAAGATCAGCGATGTTTGACGTGTTTGAGAGTTTCTTGTACCATCCCCTTGTTTTAATACGATTTGTTTTGTTGTATTGTGGCTCTAGCAAATCTCAAGCTGCTTGGGATATCCAGCGACTTTGCGGCGGCGCTGTTGCATTGAGTTGGTGCGTTCGCTCATAAACGATCTGAGGAACAGGGACAAACAAGGACCCAAGATGTGGCAGACAAGCAGCAAAGTGCATCAACAAACAGCCAAAAGTCATGAAAGAAAAGTTGGATCATATGCTTTGTTTAGTATCTTGAAATTATAAGCTGATAGAAATAAACTTATTTTGGAAGTGTGGTAGCAAAAGAAGAAGAGATAGAGATTCAACTGAAAAAACAGCCAGCTGTTCATCTGGACACACGTTTTGACCAGGTACAGTGCCGTTTGGATGACCAGGTACAGTCTGCTACCAACCCACTAAAAAGTCCATTTGTGTGTTGATTTTCTTCTGACACCGGACTGGCAGGCAGGCGGCAACCTGCGCTGGCTTGAAAGTTGCCCTGCGTTCAACACGTCGTCCTTCGCTTGCTTTGAATGGAAGAATGTGGAGAAAAAGTGGCCAACAAATGTAGATAAAATCACACACAGATATCTAGGTAGGAGAAGAAAAAGAAGGATTGATAGATCTAGGCAGGCTGGAAGAAGCTCTAGAGCCCTAGAGAAGAGAATAGATAGACAATGGGGTCTGATGCGAGGCCTGGCGGCTTCGATTGCTTGGAAGAGCTAGTGCGGCACAAGGGATGCGTTGTCAAGGATGGCGGATTTGCAACGCAGCTGGAGAAGCACGGCGCTCTCCTCAACGATCCGTTGTGGAGCGCGCTCTGCCTCATCACCAATCCGGGCCTCATCGCTAAGGTTTTTTTTGTTCTTGCGGTTCTTGTTTGGATGGATGGGTGGAAAGATCTTTGCTTTGCTTTGGCTGGAGTTTTGGGAGTGATTGTCTTCTTTTGGATTGGATAGGTGCATTGGGAGTACTTGGAATCGGGAGCGGAAGTTCTTGTCACATCCTCGTATCAGGTAAATCTCAAGTTTCCCTTCTAATCTCTTTCCTACGGCATTTTCTCTTATCTTGAGTTTATACGAACCTGTTTCTTGTTTGATTCGTTCAGAGCTTACTTTGTTTTCTATCGATTTCTAAAAGTTCGATTCTGTTTTTTTCTTGACGAAGTAGTTCCTTGTTTTTGTCCACGGCTTTAGATGATTGAGTTATTGTTTGACTTTCTAGTGTTAAGTTAGCTTGCTTCAAAGCCTCAACTCCTTGATTTTTTTTCTTAAATTGAAAGCGTTGGTGTTGTTTCGTCCAGGCCACACTTCAGGGATTCCAGTCTCGTGGGATAAGTCTGGAAGAAAGCGAGGCTCTTCTCCGCAAAAGCGTGACGCTGGCTTGTGAAGCTCGGGATCGGTTCTGGAGGACAAAGAGAGCTCAAGGAGCTGAGAGATTTAATCGTCCTCTAGTCGCAGCTTCGATTGGAAGCTATGGAGCATTTCTAGCAGATGGTTCCGAGTATAGGTACTCTAAAAGTTCTTCCACCTCTTTTCGGAAGCATCAAACTTCTTTGTTCCAGCGGTGACTATGGTCCAGGAATGACTCTAAAAAAGCTCAAAGATTTCCATCGACGAAGGCTTCAAATTCTTAGCAGCTGCGGCCCAGACTTACTTGCCATCGAAACAATTCCCAGCAAACTCGAAGCTCAGGTTTGATAATTTATGAATAAGAAACTGCTAAGGAAAAAACACGGTTTTTTTTTGCTCAGGCTTTTATCGAGTTGCTCGGAGAGGAGGATATTGACGTACCAGCATGGATAGCATTTAGCTCCAAAGACGGGAAAAATGTGGTGTCTGGAGACAACTTCTCGGAATCCATAGCCATGCTCGATAAGTGTGACAAAGTTGTGGCTGTGGGAATCAACTGCTGTCCTCCACATTTTGTGGAAGGACTTATTCACGAAGCTCGCAAGGTACCTTAAAATCTTTGACTTGATTTCATGCCTGAAACTTTTACCAGGCTACCTCAAAAACAATCGTGGTTTATCCTAACAGTGGAGAGCAATATGACCCGAAGACCAAACTTTGGAAGGTACAAGAAAGAGTTTCTATAGTTTCCTAGTATTTGCTTCTTTTTTCCTATTTCAGCATGAAGAGAATTGTGAAAAGGATTTTATGGCGTTTGTCAAAAACTGGAAGCGAGCTGGGGCTAATGTGATTGGTGGCTGCTGCCGAACGACTCCAGACACAGTGAGAGGTATTTGCTCGGCAATTTTTTGAAACATAAACCCAGCCAGCTCTCAATTTTGTATAACTCATAAAAAATATGTTCACTCAAACGCAAATCTCAGAGGCTCTAGATAAGAGCGGGGCGCAAAGGTTGCCCCATTTAGTCTATTCTTGAAGAAAAAGAAGAGTTGCTCAAGGCTGCTCGGAGGCAAGAAAATCAAGGTGAAGCAGCAGCAGAAGACGAAGAAGACCGTGGCGGAAGTTCAACAAGAGCCGCATGGATCCAGGTGCTGCAATAGAAAGGGCTTTCGTGGAGTGAAGACGGGAAGGTAAGGTGGACGCTCTCTTGCTGCTGGCCATGGCCTCAGGGATGCTGTGAAGATGATGATTGCAAAGTGAGGAGAAGCAGACAGGGTATGCCAAGGCATGGCATTAATAACAGCTATATTAATCCTTCCTTTGAGATTATGACTTTAGATCAACACAATATACTTTATAGCATAATGTTTTAACTATAATTTTGCCTCTATCAAAGCCTTGTAAGATTTGGATGAATAATTCCTCAATTTATTCTTCGTTAGTATTGGTTTTAACTTTTTTTAAGCTGGAATCAAATACAAGAGTTATAAATGTCCAATTTTCATGCTTATGTATGTCTTGTGACACGCTATTAAAAAATGTGTCATCTAAAAGTCTTTTGAGTAAGAACTTCCTCAAAAGGAAAAAAATTTAGAGTAGTTGATTATGTTTTCCACATCAAATAAACTCCATTCCTTTTTCTTTAAGATTTTTTTCAAGAAATTACTGGCAAAACAATTTAAACTTGAGTTTCTTGGCAATATATACCATACTCCAATTTTAAACTCGTCCCATGTTCTATGAATTTAATGATGGATGAGAAACTATCTTTTTTGTATTGTTTAGAAATGTAGATTAGGAAGAGAATATAGTTTTTTCTATTGATGAAAACTTAAAATATAATCTATTACAATCTTCCTAAATTTAAATCTAGAAATACTTCTAGCAACATTGTTTTCTTGAGTATCATATCCTAAATCATAGTTTTTACCATCCCACTCATCCTAAAACCTAGCACTACTAATTATCATTATGTTATGCATAGTAACACAAGCTGTGATGTAATTAAACTATGTGTAAGGAGGGGCTAGGTTAGTGGTGAGATCCTTTATTGTTAATTTGATGAAAACACCAAAACCAGTTGAAATATGTATAAAAAAGAAATGAGATAGAAAAAATTAAAAGTTTCAAATTGAAAAACTAATATTGCTTAGCTTTTATGTTTCAAAAGAAGTCCTAGGGGTAGTTGAGAGAGTGATTGTTACATAGATTACACAATACTTATATGTTTAAAATCACATAAAATATTTACTTGTGGAGTTTCTACAATGTCTAAATCCAAATTTTCCTTAAAAATGTTTTTTAGCTTGAATGCATTGAAACATTGAACTTACCATGGCATCCCCCACATTCTACTTGGAGAAAAAAATGTGGATTCTGAATGTCCCAGTAAGCAAAAATGTGGATTCTGAATGTCCCAATAAGGGTATTCCCGGGTGGACCCACACTGTGGGGTACCCCTGGTAATATGGCTATGAGGGGCATGACATGTACAATAGTTGGGACTCAGTATAAAAAGAAGCCAAAACTTCTTCGTTTGCAAAGAGGAGTGGAGGGAAGTTTTACTGATCAAAATGCAGCGATCCAAATTCCAGGCTCCAGTCGTCTCTGCAGCATTACTGCTGGTGCTAGCACTGCTGCGGCGCTATGCATTTCGCCAGGGATCGCCAACAATGTCATTGGAGCTCTCAACTTCTTTCTATGCTAACACTTGTCCCGATCTCCCTCAGATCGTGAGAAGTGTGATTCGCTCTGAATTTTCCAACGACAGTCGATCTGCTGCGTCGATCCTCAAGCTCCACTTCCGAGATTGCTTCTCTCGAGTAAGTCAGAAATTAAAATAGCGTTACTCATTTATGGCTGCCAGGGCTGCGACGGATCGCTGCTCCTCCAGCGAGGAGATGGGCGCTCCGCCAAGGGACTCAAAACCATCAACAACGTCAAGCGCGCCGTGGAGACTTCATGCCCGGCAACAGTATCGTGCGCGGACATTCTTGCGCTGAGCGCCCGGGAATCCGTCATAGCCGTGAGTGAGAATCTCCATCGCGGCTTGAGTTGATCATTCTCTTTCGACTTTGCAGCTGGGCGGCCCTTCATGGACAGTAGAATTTGGCCGACGGGACAGTCCCGCGACCGTCGCCGCCGCAATGGAGGCCATTCCCAGCCCAAACCTCACCGCAACGCAGCTCATCGAGCGCTTCCAAAGGCGGGGTCTTTCCAAGCGTGATCTCGTAGCACTTGCAGGAGGCCATTCCATCGGCCAGGCCAAGTGCTTTACATTTAGCGCACGCCTCTTCAATGGAACCCCAGGAGATAGCATCGATCGGGCCTTCAAATCTCGACTCGAGAAGAATTGCCCTCCAACAGCCCCAGACAGATTGACCAATTTGGATCCATCCCCCACCACCTTCGACAACTTGTACTTTCGAGCTCTCCTGGCCAATCAGTCGCTCCTCTTTTCAGACCAGCAGCTCTTGGAGATTGATCTGGTGGGCTTTGTCAAGGAGTTTGCGGCCAACCAGCAGACATTCTTTACCGCCTTCGCTGATGGCATGATCAAAATGGGCAACCTCTCGCCAATCACAGCAGGGCATGGTGAAATTCGATCCTCGTGCTAGTTTTTTTCCTATACATGTAAATCTATTCCCCACATAAAAATATACACCACAGCCCTGACTATAGAGAAAGGAATGTTGGCATATCCCGTATAACTTTAGAGCTTGATGATGGTGGTGGAAATTTTCTCGTCCCGCTTGGTGAGAGATTCCATTCTTCCCAATCAAGATAGCTCGTGTAATCACTTTTGCCAAAGAGCCAAGATTTTCGTCGCGAGCCAGGGCACATCGTCGCAGCCGCATCGGCGAAGAGCCAAGATTTTCGTCGCGAGCCAGGGCACATCGTCGCAGCCGCATCGGCGAAATTTCAATTGCCACGATTAGGGTTGTTCAACTCTTAAACCCTAACGTTAATATATATAAACCTTAGGTTTTAGACGTATTGCCACGCAATGGCGAATATTCACTGACATATACTTGCTTGCTGTGGAGAAAATTTTGTGCTGCCTAGGGCTAGCTAGGCGCTGCGATCGGCAGGAGTGATGCGCTTGGGCGCTCGGTGTCGTCATGTTTGAGGCTCATGTGAGTGATCGATCGCTAGTTTGGGGATTGGAGAGATGGATTGCATTGGCGGACTGGATTGAGCTCGCGATTTTCTCCATTTCTTGTTTCTGCAGGTCTTGTATCTTCTTCGCAGATACCTGGGCCAGTATGTGCGGGGTCTCTCAGCGGAGGCGCTCCAGATCAGTGTGTGGAAAGGTGAGAGCTAGATTTTTTGCTCGCGAGGTGTTGAAAGTTTGGTGTTTTTTGGACAGGCGATGTAGTGCTCAAGGACTTGCAGCTCAAGGCTGAAGCACTGAATGCTCTGAGGCTTCCTCTCACTGTCAAAGCTGGATTCCTTGGGTCTGTCACGTTGAAGGCAAGGCATTGATCAAGAAAAGTGTACCTTCGATTCTTATGCTTTCGTTTTTCTTAGATTCCTTGGAACAAGCTTGGAAAAGATCCGGTGATTGTACTTCTCGACCGGGTTTTTGTTTTGGCGGAACCTGTTGAAGATGAACAGCTTTTCAAGGTACGATTTGGTTTTTAGCTTCAAGCGTTACGGAAACTTTCGTGAAATGCGGTTGCAGAACGAGAACATGGAAGCCTGGCTTGACGCTAAGCGGAGCCAGATTGAGGTTAGTACATACTTGCCTGTGAAGTTTATTCTCAAACGCTTTTTGTGTCTTAAGGAGCTGGAGATGGCATTGCTTGATGCGAAGGCAGGAAGATCCGGTGATGATGCGGTATGTGCCGCAAAATGCTGTTTGAGGTTTCGTGTTAAATTTTCTGTTTTTTGCAGTCGCCGGAAAGTAAGTCCTGGTTAGGCTCGCTCGTTGCGACGATCATTGGCAATCTTAAAGTCTCCGTGACTAATCTTCATATTCGTTACGAAGACACCCTCAGGTCGCGTTCATCTCTATCAAGCTAAATGCTGGTACTGATACTGGCTTCATTTTTCAGCAACCCCTCCCATCCATTTTGTTTTGGCGTTACTTTAGCCAAACTTGCCGCTGTGACCATTGACGAGAATGATGTAGAAACCTTCGTAACTAGCGGAGCTCTTGACAAGCTTCACAAGGTATTTTGATCAATTTTGTAACGTGTACTTCAGTTTCTTTTTTCCTGCTTGCTGTGCAGTCGCTCCAGCTGGATAGTTTTTCTATCTACCATGACTCGGATACTGGGCCGTGGACTCTGGAGAAACGGTGGGATGAGATGACATCCAAAGAATGGAGCGAGGTTTGTGTTTTCTTCAATGAAAACAGCATTTAAAATTATTATGGTTTCAGATGTTTGAACCGAGTATTAAAGGGAAAATACAACACAAGTACCTGCTTCATCCGGTTGCTGGCCTGATGAAGTATCACCGGTGTGGAAAGAGAGAGAAAAGGGATTCTAAAACACCTTTTCAGAAGGCTTCTCTTGTTTTGGATCAAGTGTCTATTGCTGTGTCTGAGGTTGGTTTCTCTAAATGCTACACTTGGGTTAACTTTCATTCTGTTTTAGGATCAATATCGGGATGGTATTCAACTGTTGGAGGGTGTTTCACGGTACAGGATACGAATGGAGTTCTCTCTCTTCAGACCTATGATACCCGTATTGGTAGATGCTAAGGCATGGTGGCGCTATGCTGGTCGTGCAGTAACGCAGCAGCAGAGAAAGTCAAGGTTCGTTTTGATTAATAACCGAGTATGCTAAAGCAAATGTTTGCAGGTGTAACTTCTCTTGGGAAAATCTGTCTCGAGCATCAGGGTTACGAAAGAAATATGTGGATCTTTATGTTAGCGGGCTCCAGCAGGGCAAGTTTGACAATTTTGAAATAAGGCAAATCGACCGGGAGCTAGACGTAGAAGTTATTCTACTTTGGAGGTCGGTAGTTTGTTTATCCTTTCTGTTAGTTGATGGAGGAGTGGTGGCTGCAGAATGCTTGCCCATGCAAAAGTTGAGACGGCAAAGTTAAAAGAGGCAGCCGCGGCACGCGAAAAGTCCAGGAAAAGCACCTGGTGGCCATTTGGCGGGTATTGTGGCATATGTTTTCATTTGTTTTACATTAATCGCTTGCTATGCAGGAGCGGCGCTGGTCCAAGGGCCTCAGTTGCCCAAGGCCCTGAAACGGAAGCGGCCCCAGCGCAACTTACAAAGGAAGAATGGAATAAGATTAACGAGCTTCTAAGCTATCAACCGGGGCAAGACTATCCGCTGCTTTCTACTCAAGAGCCACAGAACATGCTGCAAACAATGCTCGACGTGACCATAAAACAGAGCTTGGCGTGCAT